CCCAATCCTGCCGTCGCCCTATCTAACTGCCAGAACCAGCCCATTCCAAGTACCAGGTGCAGAACCAACACCATCCTCAGTTTTCTCCCAAATCTAAACCGGCATCACCCAGAGCTCCAATCTCTTCCCTAGTCTCAGTCCCAACCGTAGTCCCAGCCACAGCCGGGGCTTCCATGTGCGACTGACACATAAATAACCAAGCCTGTCCGCCACCCAGGCAAATTCAAATGCACCTGTCAAAGTGATGAAGCACCCGCCCGCAGGGAAGCATTGTTTACATTTTCACTCCACTCTTCGCAAAAGTGAGATTCTAATTATTTTCCCACTGTAAATTAAAGCCAAGTGGGACAGAACTACAAACCAAAATGATCATGGCGGTGGCAGGAGGAAACCTCAGCCCTCCAACGTATGAGCTGCGTGAAGGGTGGGAAACAGCTGAAGAAAGCGTGTGGGTGGTAGACGAAAGGAAGGTCAGCTGCTTTTGTCTATAAGAGGGGAGATAGCGAGAGAGACGGAGAGGGGAGAAAATGGAGGTACAGCATTCACACAGGCTGTGTAGCAAGTCTACTTCTGTTGTGCTCATTACAGGCAGGGTCTAGAGAACTTCAACCAACTGGAATACATTATGCCCTCACATTTCATACATAATAATGTGCCAAAAATGTGCTGCATTATTTTTCATACCAATGGACATGGAGCGAGAAAGAAAGACAGAGAGAGTGAGGTAGAGAGACAGAGAGAGTGAGAGAGAAGGGAAAGATTTAATTAGTCCATGGGAACATGCAAATGGAAGGTAAAATTAGACAGAGGAAGGGAGACCTGGGGAAGAGAGAGTGCATGAATGGTAATGATGGCTATCTAGTTTGGATCAATCATTAAGGGATCAGGGGGACTGACAGGCCTGTTCGTACCCACGCCTTAGGCTCCGGTCCTGGACAGTCGCCAGCCCGGCTCAGTCTGCCTGCCCATTGAGACGTTTCTTTCTCTTCTGCCTTCAGTTCAGTCACACGCATAAGCACACAAACACACACACACACACACATAATGTACTCATATATCATACACAATTGCAAAAAACTAAAAAAACTTACTTAGGTAGACACACGTCTACCATTTTCCCAATAAATGCTACATGTTTAATAGCTATGGATAACTCACTCAGGGGCCTTGCTAGTTTGTGTTTAGTAATCAGTGATGCATCCCCACTTATCCCCTTATGGTAGTGTTTTCAAAATGGTGGATTAAAGCATGCATTAGTTGACTACGGGTGACTTGATTGGTTCCCATTTTGACACTGTGCTTTGATTATCATCTGAAAATAGCAAAGTTTTGTGCAAGGTCATAGGGTAAAGTTTGGTAAACTGTTTTTTTCAGTTGTCAGCAGGGACATGCCAGATGGGGTCACAGCAGAAATGTCCTTTTTTAATAATGGTCAACCCTAGACACTGTGTTTATATCCGACATGTCACAAAATGGAGAAAAATGTCAGACTTTGATATTTGTGACAGTCAAGGACGTGTGATATAAAAATATAAAATACACTGTACCTATCCCAGACATAGCTTTTACTAGACCAGTCTATCACCCAGTGGAAAATTACTGTTTAATTCCCAGAAACGGTCTGCCCTCTTTTTAGCTCTTAGTTGCAAGTTTAAATCCTAATTTAGGTTTGAATATGGGTCACTTTTTAAATATAACACAAAAGAATATCCCTTTTAGAATGTAGTGCATTTACCCTTTTATCTCTGAGGCAGTGATGCCTATTTTTTGGCCTCAAACTAACAAAACAGCAAAGGAAATCCAAATCCATCTCTTGACACTTTATATTTGTACACACTTGAATGAAAATGATTGACAGGTCAGTCAAATTTTATTACAAGTCACAGTGGATTTTTAGAAAGAAAAGCTTTCCACAGGCGCCTGTATTTAAATACTGATTGCTTTTATTCTGCATTCATACGTGGTATGGTATGATTCGGTAGGTGTGAAATCGCATCTTCTCCCAGAAAGACAGACAGACTATATTTGTGAACCATGGAGCCATGTCTGCAGCTGTGCCATCCCCACTTCCTGTGCCCCTGTCCCTCCCTCCCATTCTCTGTGTGCATTTGCGGTAATGTCTACAAATCCTGAAATTTATGTCCCTGCTGGAAAACATGGTTTGCTGTTTATAGTCCCCCGCTAAAAGAAATAAGGCCCGTCTCTCCTGATGCAAGTCAAGGGACTGATGCAGACTCTATCAGATTTCTAAATACAGACCCCAACAATAAATCCTGGCTTGATTGGGTTTGAATTGGGTTAGCTCACTTGAATGCTATCTGCTTAACCCACAGCTGGCCTGTCTGCTCCATGCAGGCATTGAACCTAAATCAGTCACTTAGTGCTATCAAATGGAACAATGGTGGAGTGGAGAGAGCACTCAAGCTAGGGCTAGAAGCCAGGCTAGCACCATAACGCAACACAACAGACCAGAACAGAGTAGTGAAGAGCAGACAGGCCCTCTAATGCTCCTTTCCTTTTTGTGTCTCAGCAGTGATGCATCCTGAGAGCCATGGTGCATTGCATGAAATGGCATCACCCAAACCGAACACACAAACACCTTTTCAAGCTTTTGTCTAGTCTTGTCAACTGGATTTCACGTGCTAATTAGCGTAGGAAGGTGGCATGGCTAACATAAAAAAAATCTATTTTCATGCAAGCCAAAATACATACACATGCATACCACACAGGGAAATTTAAGCAGGTGTGTTTAACCAAAGTGACTTAGAGTACAGAGGCTGAAGCCATGGTGTTTCTATCACCACTGTACAGCTTGGTTTATAAAATCCTGGACTGGGGCCTTAACCGGGTCATAGGCACACTTCCTGTGACCAGCACAGCGGGAAATGATGTTTTCTTACCCAGTTTTTTCGGGACTTTCAATGTGTGATCTCTTAGTGTGTCACGAACAAGCCAAAAACCGCCATATATGAAGGCTTGGATTTTCTGCACACATACTTGTGTTTCCTCAAAAAAAAAAAAAGGCAGCAAATCAACATACACACACTATCCAAACAGACTGATTGCTGCCTAGCAGAGGTGCTGATTACTTAAGGAGTTCAGGTAATCAGTTTCCCCCAGTGTGGGCCGAGGCCAAGCTAGAGGCAAGGAGCAGTTGAGGCGATTTCACTAATGAGCGTCTTAATTAGCGTTGAAGAGATGCATCCCCGCGTCCCCACCTCCCCCTTACACACATACACACACACACACCTTCTTTAAATGTTCTTGGCTAGTCTTCTTTTTCTCTGCACTCGTGACTCTTTGACATTTTGACAATGAGGTCCTTTCTACTCACGGGGCTGTCTGTTTCGCAGTTTATGCAGTGTCTCTAATTACGAGGGGGGTAATGGCTCCCACTGTTTTCTCGGTGAAGTGCCTACAGTTGTGTTTGGCTAAGCGTTTATAAGTGTGGGGTGACATCGATACACCACCAAATTAAACCTCTCCTTCAGCTTGACCCTGCCACTCATGGCCCGCTGAATGAGTTTGCCTTTTTTCCTTTTTCTGTATTTTTAGACGAATCATAATTACGCAGCCAATTAGGGGGTCACCTTGAGTTTTACAAACTACTTGAAAAACTTCCTCCTCTTTGTTACTCTGACTGTATGTGTGTGGCTTAGTGTGTATGTGTGTGTACATGTGGTTTTAACTGGTCTGTGGTGTGAAGGTCCAGTATGTAATATTATGAAATTCCTAGGTATGTTTTAGTGTATAATCACCTGAATATAGGAATTGTTATGTTGTTACCTTAGAAGCCATTGTTATCTACAGATGCTGAGGTCGCCTTTCATGGAGTCTGCCATGCTGAACTGCCATGTTTCTACAGTAGCCCAGAACGAAAAAAGATAGGAGCATTTGCTGTTTTTTGCACGTTTCTCGGCCACCATAGTTTCTCCTTCGTGCTTGTAAGGGGAGGGTAAAGTGAGTGATCACATAAAAAGTCCTTTTGTTTGGCAGTCTGGAACATGTATTTGGGATTCATGCCAACCAAAACAGGCTCTGTCATAGTTTCATTACATTTACTGTGTGTGCGTATGTATTTACTACTTTGTATTATAGTTAACATGATGTATACGATCTACAGTAATCCATGTGATCAGACATTCAAGCCTCCGCCAGTAGACACTATCAGAAAGGCAGAGAGCTTCCATGATCTTCACACATGGATGACTTCGAGTTACATGACCTATATAACATGTTACACGCTCCGCTTGCTCCACGTGTCTCACCCTAACACAGAGGGGCAGCGTATTACAGGTGTGTAAGCCCCCAACACACGCACACACACACACAAAGAGTCATAAACAAGCCTGCCACCAGGATTATACATGTATACATGATCACAAACACAACCTGTCTCTTTACCTGCCACAGATCAGGCCCCAGAGGACTCATGCACTACTAGGAATTAGTGTGCTGATGTACTGTGCGCCAGTGGTGCTTATCTGGTGGCTGCAGTTGTATGTAATTAAAATGAACATCTAACCGTTTACAGGTACAGGTACAGTTGAGACTGATTTTAATATATACATATTAACATAGGTTTTTGATATTGGGTTATCACAATAAAATAGAGTTACGGAAACATATTTTTGTGCCATTTGAGGATTATTCCCACAACATATCTGTAGCAAGGGCTGAAGAGTATTTTCACGCTGAATGTTTCGCAGGATTGATAGAAACCTATCAATCTTTTTGAAAACTTCCCTTTCACATACATTATTCTCCTAATTTTTTAATCCATTTGTTTTTTGTTTTTTATGTCTTCTTGGTTTGATTTTACAACAACATAAATTGCTAATGCAATACTATTTAGCAGCCCCCCAACAAGAAAGATAAGATAAGATAAGAAAAGATAAGATAAGATATACCTTTATTAATCCCCCGTAGGAGAAATTCAAGAGTTTACAGTCCCTGCTCACAATATGTCATTATCTTCCTTCATTTTTGTGCTTGATTAGGTGGCAGTCTATGACTATATCTGGACTGTGGAAGACCCCTTGGCAGGTTCTGCAGCCCCTAGTGAAAGCCCAAGAGAGAGGGCACCCTCACCAGATGGAGAGACCAGCACACATGTGGCAGTCTACACCCTGTACTCTGAGTGGGATGAAACAAAGATACAGGCACTTCCTCCGACAACCGGATGGAGCTATCATTGAGGTGGGATATCAACATGTTGCATACAATGTGTCCGCAAAAAAAAAGACATTTTCACAGTGTACTGGAATTTGCAGTAAGTACAAAGTCGCTTTCCTTGTTTTACCTGTGAAAGTTTTATTTGACAATAGTCAGGGTCAATTCTACCATAGGATATTGACGATGGGATTAAATGCAATTTATTATCTGACCATAAATACAGAGAAAGCACATACCTAAGCCAAGGCAGAGAAATGAAGAGAGGAGGACAAAGGGAGGCAGAGTAAAAGGGTGGAGAGATGGATTTGAGGTTCACAAACCACTCCCTCCTTCCCTCTCTCTCTCTTATCCTCTGAAGAGAGGACAGAAACAGATGCAATAACTATTTTATTATTCTGCTTTCAGAACAATAAAAAACCAACAGTACAGCTCTGTGGTCTGGAAGGGTGAATAACAGCAACATATTTTTTTTTTCACGGGAAAAAACAGATTTAAATTTTTATTTTTTTTTTCAAACAGGAAATGACAGGATTTACCCTGAGAAAAAAAGTCAAAACAAGTTCATCATGCAAATGAAAACTGCTACCAAAAGTCAACAAAACTCACCTTTTTCTTTGTCTCCTCTGCCCGTAACAACCATTTACAATCTGTATGGTATAATAAAAATTCTAGTGCCTCATCCTGTTTAACACTGTGTTATGACTTATGATGGGATGTAATTTGAAACAGCACAAAAATAAGCAGACAGTGCTGCCTAACTTTGCAGTGCATTGTGATTATTACAACTTATATTTAGCTTCTCGTCCTCCATGTCCCTGCAAGACAGGCAGGTCAGAAGCAGACTGATTCACAGATTGTTGCCTAATTAAAAGTAGTGCTTTGTGACAACTGCTGCAGTAGCAAGGAGTCATTCCTTTCCTCAATCATTCTGTCAGTCGCCCAAGAGCAACCTGGATCATCCCAACAAAATGAATATTTTGAAGTTTGAATGTCAGAGGACTGAGGAAGGAGGGGGTGATATGTGCTATCAATTAGCTCTGAGGCTCTTTTGCGTTCTAATGGTTCTCCGTCATAATTTGAGTGATGGTGAGCTTATGTGAGTAAACACAGAGCACGGTATATTTATTACTGGTGTCGCACTGTGTGTGTGTATGTGTGTGTAGCCTCTAGACCTGTGCAAAGCAGATGAGACATCTGGGGGGATTGTACAGAGCCAATCAGCACACACTCATTGACACAGACAAACACAATGATCTACACTTACTGTGGGAAAGAAATGTATGGTATACACAAAAACCTACAACAATCACACAACACAAATTTACAACACGCGTAACCCCGACACACAAACCGCAGCCCAGTGAGGGTAAAAGAATGAATTCCAGGCATCTCTGCTGTGCTGACTCTCCATTCTTCAAACTGTGAAGGGATTTTCATAGAGGCCACCTTAAGTGAAAGATAGTGTTACTGTCCTTGGGAAACACATTCACACACACATACTCTATCTTTCCGTTGCTCTCTTTTCTCACACACACTGTGTCCCTTGGGTGTTGCTGTCTGTTCCTTGCAACTTAACAGGCAGGGACCTCCAGTAGCAAGAGATGCCGATGGCATCCTCTTTCACCCGCTGGTAGTGGGGAGCGATAACGCCGATGCTCAGCATCGCTGAGAGAGCACTGTGCCATTCCCCTTCGCCTCGCAGCACGGACCCCCACTTTACATATTCAAAACTAATCCTCCCCTGAATATATAGACTGGTTTTATGTATAGAGAAATATCCAGGAATCACCAAAGGGCATCCCCAGCACTCGGAAGAACACTTGAGCTGATTTTATTAGTGCTTTATATAATTCTGGCAGCGATATACACACTGCGACAGGGTGCTGTGTACAAACTGGCCTTCAGATGTAAGGTGACAGCTCCTGAGAGAGAAATAACAGCTGTGCAGACACTTCAACAAAAATTAAATAGATAAAAAATATATAGTGAAATAGAAAAAGGCTCTACTATGAGATGCAGTGACCACAGTAATGCAGAGAAGTCCCCCTCTGTTCTTAGATTTATGACATTTTAAAGCAATTTTATGGGTTTTCCCGTATAGGCTTATTACTTTATTCACTTATCCGAATAATAGCATGTTTTATGGTGATGTGGTTACACTGCTATGTTAGCAGACAAAGTATTATGTAGCATGAATCCTGTTTAAGCAATAAAAACTAATGTAATTTGTTTTACTTTAAGCCATATATGCTGAGGTTTATTTGACATTTTCACACAGGCATCCTTGCAGCATATCAACATATCATTACTTTTGTGATAACATTTCAATATAGGATGCACAAATAAAATATTCTCATTATTATTATTATTAGTTGCAGTAGTGGGATCTACAATATATTAATTTTTTTGTATTTTGTTTTGAAATCTTGATCATAAGTGACAAAAAAACTTTATTTGACTTTATAATAACATGACTGCATCCTCTGTCCCAGTTAGTTAATGACTAATCCCGTTACTTAAGAAGTCTGTTTCCATTTACTGAGGAAATATTGATGGATGGCTCATTTCCTTTAAAGAGCTCTTTTTTCGCAGGCAGTGTCTTAGACACCAATGCCCCGGAGGACTTACTCCTCCCTTAGACTAACATGACCACAGCTCCAGGGGCCAGCAGCTTTGCATAATACCCTCAAATTTACACCCAGAATTTGTCTAAATGAACACCTTTAAAAAGCAAGTCCTGGAAGAAGTGCCCTGAGCTATAGACACTGTTAGACACTGTTTGGAAGGAACAGAACAGCGAGGTGTGTCCTGTTTGATTTCCTGGATGGTGAGAGTCATGAGAAACTTAATATTTCTCTTGTTTATTCAGCCATTATTGAACCACCTATGTTGACTGAAAGTTTTTCTGTTTCTTTCTGTGTTGCATCGTTAGCAAGAGTAGGGATGTTGTGGAAGGAGTAAATTCTGAGTTGTGAGTGTGTAGTAAAAAATATAACGATAATGAAGTCTTTATTGACTTGCATATTGAATTCTGTTTAAAGAAAGTTAATATTAATGATCCATCATATGCTCTCATTCAGTGTGTTGCCCAAGGCATGTGTCTGTAATATTGACCATGTTGAAGAAATCTTCCAGCTGAATCACAACAATACAAAAAGTTAAAGCTATGTTCCCATCAGTGTGTTCCAATAAAAGACATTAAAGGTAAAGTGAGGTGTTGGTTTTCAAACACTCATTACCTATAAACAGATGTTCCCCAGCTGCCAACTCACAAAATGCAGTGCTGACAACAACTGTTCGGGCCGAAATTATGCAGGGAAATGCAATCTATATAACCTAGGACCTTCAGAGAAGGCCTCATAATCACTCTGTCTGAAGAAACAAGATGGCTGATGAAGAAATTAATGCAGGCAAAGTCATTATCTTCCCTCCTAAAACCACAGTGGGTTTATGTCCCCCTGCGTCGTTTTTTTCTCCGGGGCTAGCATTTAAGTGTCGATGGACTTATAAAAAGATAGGACAAGCCAACTGTGCTCCTTTTGTCTCCTTTCCTCCATATGGGAGGCAGCAGCATATGCAAGAACTGGCTCAGCTTCTGTAAAACTTCCATTAAAGATGCACAACTAAGGCTCTGCCAGCTTGAATATTACCTCTCTGCGCAAATTATTTATGGCTCGGAAAAAACGCTGATGATGAGCATCTCCAGCGACTTGTATAAATAAAAACACTTTTCTCTGCAATTTCGGCTGTGCTTTTTTTTTTTATCCCTATCCCTTTTTTTAGGTGGGGGGCTTTTGTAGAAACAAAAGGTATGCAGTTTATTCACATGGTAAGGTTTTAACTGTATTGCATTTAATTATCTGCATGGTTTGTAGAATAAGGAGAGGTTATCCCCTTATAATTTGTAGATTTTTATTTATATATATTTTTTTAAACAGTGACAAAGCTGAGAAATACGATGATAATGAGTAATAATGACATTGATGTTGATGAATGGAGACTATTGAGAAATGGTAGGCAGTAGCAATGCAACGTGGTAAAGAGCACATAGCGCAGATTGCTGTTTCATCAGGGACACCTCATCATCATGATATGCCATCAAATCTCTCATTAACAAGGACCCTTTGTCTTGTCGTTCCATGACTCAGCCCACCGTCCGTCTGCGCATGATGACCACTCTTCGCCAGACCAATATTGACCTAATTTAGCATGCAGAGAATATGAAGAAGTTAACCTTTCGAAAAAACACCTTGCAGCAACATTAATTGACAAACCGCATCAATTCTCCCTCCTACCCCTCTTTTGTAATTACTCTGCCACACGTTTGATTGCCGCTGCGGAGCTGAGGACCCACGCTTCATTTGCCGTGAGGTCATCGGCAGCCCTCAGAAATATGAATATGATTTATACAGGAATTGAGTGTGGTCTGTATGCTGTGTCTGTGCTGTTTTTTCTATGTATGGTGTGTGTAGCTCCAAGAGACACAGACAAGGAGAGAGAGAGAGAGAGGGGGGAATGTCCTTGGCTACGTACTGTATGTTGCATGAGGAGATTAATGCCTCCCTGCCAGCCATATCTGCTTAGCAGGAGGACTTCTCCAAAGTACACCGCATGTAATTATCTGGCAAGTTTATACTAGTTTAAGATAAAGAAGCACTCTGTGGAACATTTTTTTTCAAGTTTGCTCAATTGCTGCTCTCTGTGTGTGTAATTTGCAACTTTAGAAAAGTGCCAGCCTACCTTTTAGACATGACTACTTGACGCTGCTGTTATGAAATATGGTTGTGTGGAAAGAATGCAGAAGATTTCCAGTCATTATTTATGCAGCACAATTTCACTGAATGTATTTATTTATTTTTTTAATATATTTTATGGTAAAAATATATTTCGTTTTTTAAAGAAAATTGACAATGTATCACGGCTCGTACCAGTGAGATTTAAGTTGCATTTCATATCACTATACATAAGTAGGCCAACCTAGAGTTGTGAGAGCTGTTTCCCCTCTGGGACGAGAGGTAGTGTGTCATACAAAGTCTCCATTTCTGCTTCTCCTCCAAGTTCACTCTAAGCACCAGGACAGAGTAGAGACTGTGCATGACAACACTACTTGCAGGCCTAGAGGAAAATAGTTCTCCTGCCAATCTCAGTCACTGTCATCCAAGTTCAACCTGTACTTTGAGATGCTTGATACATTTGCCCCCCCAGGGATCTCCTGAAACAGTTGGGTTTAAAACTGTTGTACTGTTCATTTATTGTTCATTGCGTGTATTTTTCTGAAGGTGATTGGTGACGTGGAAGTGGTGGACAATCCAGCCAGGATGATGCCCTGCCCCGGTCAGGGCTCTGCCAGTCAGAGAGAGGACAAGGAAGGTGCAAGTGCTCCACAACGGCTACGGAAACGGAAAAAATTATTTGGGAGTGAGTGGTGCTTCAGCATTAAAAATGTACCTGTATTATTGTCGCAGCTTGCTCACAATATTTGAGAGCACACAAAGACAAGTAAACGTTCGGTAGTCCTTGTCACCTTATCTCACACACCTTTCTTATCTGCTGATTGTTTGACAGAATTTACAGTTTCATGCAATGTTTCTTTTCCCTCAGGGTCCCACCGTGTTGAGCCAGTAGGAGGAAGTGGGTGTGGCTCCAGTTTTGCACTGCAGGACCTCAACCAATGATATCAAAGCGAAGGAAGAGATAGTTGGACCTTGAAGTAAGTCATCCGATCAACCGTCTGTTTTAGTCTTCGTAATATACAATGCAGTTCTTGAATAATTAATGTATTAAAAACAGAATTGTTGAACAGTTGCTCAGTGAAAGGACTACCTTTTAACAGCTTTTTCTCAGTTGTGAAAAAATGCATGTGTATAATTATTTGTGTAGTACTTCCTGGGTACTATACCTTTAAATGACAGAAAGAACACTCTTAATATTGTCAAAAAATTAAACGATGTAAGGTTGAGTCATGAGATGAACAATAAAGTAAATGATATTGCTCTTGCATCTCTTTCGAGTAAACATGAATAGTATTTGTGAATTGATAAGCTATTGGTAACCTAATAAACAATGTTCAGCTACACTTTAATGAATGCAGGTGGTTAGGTTTTCAGCGCTGCCTCAACACAATGAAAAATGAAGATTCTAAAAGTCACTAATCAGAACACGAGTGATAAAATATCAATATTGGCCTCACATTAAGCAGGATAATATTCAGGCCAGCTTGATTTGTATTGAATATGTGTCTGCTAGCCGGTGCTCAGTGTAATGAAGTGGCTCACAAATCAGGCCATAATGGCTGCCTACTTACACATATTGCTTAATTAAAGGTTGTGAGCTTATTAGCATGTGTCTCTGGCACAGGGCGCAGGGAGATGAGAATCGGGACTGATGTCGTTGACGGCCAGGCTTTTAAAGGTTTTATAGATAGCTAACCTATCATACTAAAGCCATAGCCACCCCCCACCCAAAATCGGATCTTAATAACCTGTCATTTTCATTGATGATGATTCCCCTTTATGGGCAGCCATTACGGTTCAAGTTCTTGGTCTTTCTGGATGGCGATAGCGGCTGTTCATGCTCGTCATTATCAGGAACACACCTTACTTTGGCCTTGAAGTTGCTCCTCACCTCCATGTTTAAAGCATTGCAGTCGTAGCCCAGAGGGGGCTGCATATGAACACACACACGACGCATTCGCTCTCACTCATACACACACTTATTCAGCCACAGGCCTTCGCAGCCTAAAAGTCCCCATAAAAGGAAGAGATGATTAAAAAAAAAATTAGATGACATTTTTGGATTCATCAGTCCATCTGTAATACAAAATGAGGAAAGCACAACATGTTGGCATAATTCTACAGGCAGTTCCATCTCCACTGTGTGCAAATACTCAACTGATAATGACATTTTGTTTATTTTGGTGTAGTGTCAGCATTGGCAGGTCTCTGGTGTTGCATCCTGTCCTTCTGTCTGCCTTTGAGACTAGCCAGAACCTATAGAGCTAATGCGCTCCAATTAGAAATCACTCCATTAACAGTGACAGTGCTACACCCCCCAATTCAATCAGCGCCTTAATGAACATTAAGCAGAGATCTGGCCTCTCAGAGATGACAGAAACCTCTTCTCCTTTTCTCCATTTGTCCTACCTTACTACCTCTATAGTATATATTTTTTCTCCTTTTACCCAACTTCTGTTCTTTTTACTTTCTCTGTGACTTTTTCTTTGGTCTGAACAGCGAAATATTACTCCTCTGGTCTCTGTATCTGTTTTGATATGTTAATACTTTGATATAAATCTATAATTTTTGATGAATGACTTTTGTTTCTCCTCCTACTTTCTCTCTCGTGTGATGTTTTCTGAGAGTATCAGCAGCTTTGCAGTTCATCATCATCAAAACAATGCCCTGTGCAATATTTTCCAACTGGGGGCAGAGGTTGCCGATACAGAGGGGGCAAAGGTATTTCAATGGTTCAAATATTTGATTGTTAATGACAAACACCATTTCACCACAATTTAAATTTCAAATTGATCCCTGGGAGCAATTATTTCTGGGGGAGAGAAACACGCCGCTAGGTCTCTGCTACACACATTTGCTGATTTAAGTTAAAAGAAAACCTTTTTGCAGAGCTATCATAAGGGAGCTGCAACTTTTTGAAGTGAGTGCCTACATCTGCTTAGAGCCAACCCAACCTGGGGATGTTGCTGGAGAGTGAGAAAAGAGGGGAAAAATAAAACATAAAAAGAAAAAAATAACACTTTGTCTAATTCTATATTTATGTAGCCCTCAGCTGGAGGTATTCACATAAAACAGTTTGTATTCAGAAGTGCTGCGGTGATCGTTATGCTGCACATTGAGATCGGCAACTCTTCGGGCACAGTTGGCGGGTGCAGCTCAGCCTGATTCATTTGAATTAAAGTTACCCAACTAAATAAAAGGGATTCATATTCCCACTTTTGCTGCTTTGTTTTTTTTTTTCTTTTCAAACCTTTTTCTGATTGTTTTTTTTAAGGCAACCACTAAATCATTTCTTTTGATGAAGAACTTTGTACATTTACTGTCTTTGCATACATGTCTGTATTTTCTATTTACCCAACTTCATTTATGGCACCTTTTTGTTTGATGTTGAAATGTAATTATGTCTTGTAAAGGAGTGGGAGAGCTTGGCGTTCTGATGCTCTTTTGATCAGAGAAAACCTTAGGTATAATATCCATCAGGGAAGTCTGACGTTACATTCAGCTTAACTGTGGGTACCTTAAACGTATGTTCACATGACTTCTCATCCATAAATAATATTTATTTTGCTGAAAATATCATCTGAAAAATTAAATAAAAGTCTAACTTTTTTTAATCACTATAGGCAATGTAAAAATATCAACTTTGTGATATTTTTCATCTTTGGATGTAAATAAACACATTTTCCAATGCTCTCTTCTTTATTACATATTTATTTTAATAATTTATACAAAGAAAACTCACATTGGCTTTATGATTAGGCCAGTTCATTGAAAGACCTGGTCTAATCAGCTCAGGAACACATCTACTGATCCTTTCCTCTGTGACATGAATTTTAGTCATCCCCAACTATGCGCAACCTGCACCACCCGTGTTATGGTGGCATTTATGTCACTGTAGAACAATAATATGCAAAACAGATATACATTCCAGACCTCTGTCAGGTTTTTCTGCCCAAGCTGTATTCTTCTCCACTGACCCCTAACATGATTTCCTGGTGCTTAAACCGCGGAAAAAACACACACGGTCGGGGTGTGCGGAGATGTCAACATCGTGCCATATTTCTGTGGCATCTGGATAGATCATGTGCCTCTCTGCACACATATTTATTTATTTTTCCTCTTCCAGAGCAGTGTCAGGAAGGCAGATGTCCTGCTCACAGGAAAAAAATAATTTGCGGTGAAAAAAAAGGGAGGGGAGGTGGAGGGAAAAATATATGAATATGCAAATCTTATCACAGTGTGGAACCTTGTAATGAGTGGGAAATGTTGTCGCCATCTTTCATTATGCAGAGGTCATTGCTTAATGCCAGGCAGCTGGGCCCAGCTTCTTCTCTGCTTCACCCCCCCCACCCCCCCCGACACACACACACACACCCCAACCTCTCCTGTCATCTCACAGCAACTTGAACCAAACCCAAACTGCAGCCTGGCACGAAGCAACACAGAGGTCACACACACATTGACAGACACACAGGCACAAAAACACCTGCATATTGCTGTAGTTGAAAGGAAACCCTGAAGCTTCAGTTTTGTTGATTCTTTTTATCACTTCACCCTAAAGATTAAGACTATTCTTGACTTTCTTAAGACACTTACTGGATACATTAAAAATGCACTGTTAGCTTAGCTGTGATGTTAATGTATACTACGTGTGCACACATCACTAGTCACAGAGTACTCATGTTTGCATGCACTGTTCAGGAGAACTTTGCATATATATTAAACCTCACTGTGCACTCAAGCTCTGAGAAAATGCAAAGTGAGAATATTAAAAAATTTGACTCACATCAGTCCACCAGGTAGAACTTGTATGGATGTCTGCGTGAGAGGGCTTTTTTGAGTTGAAAGTTCAAAAGTAGGCACAGCCAGCACCGATCACGTTGTAGTTGTTGTTGTTCCTTGCTTTTCCTTTTGATCAACCCTTCCGTGTTTTGTAGATTGCTGAGACAGCTCACTGCTGTTCTGTCTCCTCTTGCAACAGCTTTCCTGAAATTTCCGCTGGCGTCTGCCCGACATTGAGCTATGGGGCTAATCATTAGGTAAACCCGTCTCCCTCTCTCTCATGCACTCTTCAAATAATCCTGGGTTTGAATGCTAAAAATGTAATGAACTTCACGGTTCATTGTGTCTGACATTGCTTAATTAATGGGTGCATTTAAAGTACATAGGGCCCTGGTAATTGATTTATATGCATGATTTGCACATACAGCTGTTGGTTCCTGTAGGAGACTCATCACTCAAAAAGTGGCTGTGCTGATGATAGGCTGGCTAGGTAATATCAGGATGTTCTGTTGGCCAGTCCAGTCTTTTGGGAAAAAAAGATCAATCTATATTTATATGTTAGCAAATCTTCCTTATAATTTTGACTTTTTAATATCATATTCTCAACCAAACACTTATAATACACTCAGCTCGGCAACATTTTAACATGGAAACCTTTTGCCTCCTGTAGCATAATTGAATAAAATGACAAAATATAGTTCAGAGAATTTATTTTCATTAGGCTATGCATGATGATGAGGGTTGGACACAGTCATTTTCGTGCCACACAGAGCAATTAAACCTCCTCACGCCAGCATTGCTTCGGCTTGGCTGTTTCTCTCTATCAGTCTATGTGCCTGGTCACTCCACACAGACAGCTTGCGTTACTGCACCTGCCAGGGCCGAGCTGGACACAGGCATCATCATCAATAATGCCAAGGCAGTCTATGGATCTGTGAACTAAGGTACACATCATGCATTGGACATATTGTGGGTTTCAATCTTCCTTGAAAGCCAGTGTGTTTAAATGGTTGGCAGAAAGCATCCCTCTGAATCTGAATGAGAAAAAACAACAAAAAAGATCTGCATGACTAGATATGTGCCATTAGATGCTTAGTGAGGGAAATATGCTTTTTTTGTCATTTGGCTGAACAAACCCTTTAAAACTCCCAGTCTTGACAATTATATTATGGACCTAATTATTGTTGAAAGCTCCAGTTTTTATTACTGCTGAGCCACCACCTTTGCAGTGTTAGCATTTAGCCTTCATTGACCGTGGCCTTTATGCTTGGTCCAGG